GGGTCTTCAGGCACCCTGGCCTGTGCATGGGAATGGAATGGCATGGATCTATGGACCTCATAATGAGTTCTTGGCCCATTAAAGGTTTCTTCTGCCAGTGCCAAAATACAGGGCCTAGAAACCTGTGTTTATTGATTAATTGATGCTGGAGATTGAGTCCAGGACCCTGCACTTGCAAAGCATGTGCCTTACCACAAATACCTGTAAACTCCCCAGAGCCTGTTTTACAAATCCTCAAGGTGGTTCTAAAGTTTTGGGGATGTCTGGCACTGTCTTAGTTACGTTCTCATTGCTGGGACAAAATACCAGACACGCACAAGTTAAAGGAAGAAAGGTTTATAGAGATTGTAGAGGTTTACATCTATAATCAGCTGGCTCAATGGCAAGGTGGCATGGAAGAGGATAAACAGTCTATGGCAGGGCAGGCAGGAAGCAGGAAGCAGCAAGCCTTCCCTCTTTCTTTTCCTTTATATTCCATCCAGGTTATAAGCTTAATGGTTGTTGCAACTCACACCCAGGATTGGGCTTCCCTCTTTAGTAATTACATCACCCACAACTATGCTAAACCAATCAGTAGGACTGATCCAGTTATCATATACCTGTGATCCAGCTGCCTTCCAGAAGCCCCACCTATAAGTGCATAAGGCTTTGGGGGGACATTGAGATATAAGCCATAAGAGGTACATATCAATGCAAAAATAGGGGTGCAGTGACCCTGTTTCCTTCAGGATCATTTGTTTCCTATGGTTTGCTGTAGAATTTAGTCAGGTCGGGGTTGGAATGAAAGTTTGAATGCAAAGGTAGTTAATTTCTGTGAGCCTCAGTCTCCTTATACGTAATGTGGGTTAAAGAGTATCTTTTGTATAACTTTATTATAATTAAGTTAAAATTAAATGAGGTGATATTAAGTCCCTGGAACACAGTAGGTGGTCACTACCTTCCTTTGTCTGTTGTCATCCACCTCTGTGAGTCTGGACTTTTTTGGAGGGGAGTTGGTTGTGAACAGCAGAGAGTCAGTTCAAAGGGCAAATAAGAACTTAATAGGCTCAAGGGATTCCTAGGAGACTTGCTCCTACACGCTGCTTCCAAGTTCTCTTGTCCCACTCCGTGTTGGCCCATCTTCATCAGGCTTGCATTCCTCTACTTCTCTGAAACTGCTCTTCACCAGAGTCCAGTGACTTTCTTGTGTCTACATCCAGTGGTGCTTTCCCAGCCCCTTTCTGATACGACCTGTCAGTTGTACTTGGCACAGTTGTTCTTTCTCTTTAATGTGCTTTCTTCTCTTGGTTTCTGGGACAACTTCCTCTCTTAGTCCTTCTTCCATTTCTGGACAGTCTTCTAGATCTCTGTCACTATTTAGCTCTCTAAAAGTGAGAGTGCCCAAGTACTTGAAGTTTGGATATTCTCTCTCTTCTACCCTTATTCTCTTCTCATCTAACCACACATTTGAACTCCAGTCGTGGGCTGATGACTTTCAAATTTATATCCCTAGCTTGGACTTTTCTCAGAACTCTGCTCTAGAAGATACAGCTGCCTTAGCAGCATCTTCTCTTAGGTGGATAGAGGTCCTCAAAAGCAGTAGAGAGCTCCTGATAGTCCCCATGTAGATCAGAACCTGCTCCACCATAATTTTCCCAACTTAAGCACTGGCAGTGCCACATCTGTGTAACTCAGGCCCAAGTCCCTGCCTGCATTCTTGTCATTTCTCCTTCTTTAATATTCTACATGCAATTGGAAGCAAGTGCTGTTGGTTCTACCTAAGGATCTGTCTAGAATCGAATTCTCTTCACCCCATTTGGGGAAACATCATATCTTGCCTGCATTTTTCCAATGGCCATCTCAGCATATTTCCCTCATTTCCCTACAGGTACTTTCTGTACTGTAATTGCAGAGATCCTATTAAGATGCAAATCACATCAAGTGACCCTCTTGTGTCCAAATATTCCAATATAGGTCTCCCATTGTCCCTCTGGATTAATTTCCTAGGGCCACTGTAACAAATGACCCGAAATTGGGTGATTTAAACCAACATTATTTTATTCTCCCACATTTCTGGAGACCCTAAGTTCTCAATCAAGATGTCATCAGGGCCACAAACCCTCCAAAGGTTCTGAGAAACCATTTCATACATCTGTCCTAGCTTCTGGTGGACAGTCCTCTAATACCCACCAGCAAGCTCAACAGAGACTCCTGTGCATTTCCTCTGTGAAGGTCCTGGGCTGACTTTCATGTGACTGGCTTGAGGTCACACCTACCCTTGTTCTCCCTCAGTTATAGAGGCCTGGGAAATACCATGATTGGTCAGAATGGCATCACGTGCCCACTCAAGAAAATGGGCAGTGGGATGGAGGGAGGTAGGAGAGGTCATCCTCTCTCAAGTCACTAGGCTGAGAATCAAAAGAGAATGCTGCAAAAGGGCAAGTTGGCGTTGTCATAACCACAAGGATAAATGGATGCTGGGAAAACAAAAGCTCAAGTTTTGAATCCTCTCCAAATAGCAGTCTTGGGAAACATGGTACAGAAGATGTGGCAGTTGGTTTGGAGTCTGAAAGAAGTGCCTTTCTTGGGAGTAAGACAACAGGGAAATCACAGGCCACCTCAGAGGGACAGCTCTTGCCCTTTGCATGCTGTGTGGACCATCACACAGGCTGGCTTTTTCTGGAGGCTCTCGGGAGATCCATTTCCTTGCTTTTTTCAGCTTCCCAATGGCCTCCAATATTCCTTGGCTCGTGGCCTCTTCTCATCTTCAAAGCCAGCAATGAAGCATTTCTCTGACCCTGCTGCTTTCTCCACACCTCTTCCTCTGACTGCCCCTCTTCCATTTTTAAAAATACTTAAGATACTTTGGGTTCGACTTGATAATACAGAAGATTCCTCATCTTAATGTGATTAGCAGCCTTTTTTGGCTGCCATAGATAATTAGATAATTCCCCTTTGCCCTATAAGGTGATATATCTACAGGTTCCAGGGATTAGGAGGACATGGACGTCTTTTAGTAGCTTTTTTTTGTTGTTCCTACTGCAGGTCAAAAGTATAATTGGCTTAATCTGGTCATGTGGTACCTTCAGTGGGTTCTTTGGGCAGAGCTCTGTGCCTGACACATCTGCAAGGCCCTCAAGGGATGGAATGGAACAGTTTCCCAAAGGAATGGTTGGCTGGGAAGGCAGGAAGAGCACAGGACTCCTTCATGTGCTTTCTGAGAGCTTGACCAGGTCTCACGTGCATCTGTGATGCCGAATGAATCTCTCTTGTACTCCACTGAAGCTGCTTTAAACAAACATGCTTCTCATTTCCAAGTGGAAGCGGGCAGAAAGCCCCAGTGTCGTGGTTAATTTCATGCATTGTCTGTTTCTCTAGAGAGTCCTGACTTATGGCAAGAACAGTGGGCTAAGAGTCAGGAGCTTTGGTCCTGTCCTGTCCCTTTACTGGAAATCGTTTTGAGGGCTGTCTAACCCTGGCATTCTAGAATTTTTTTAAGCTTTACTTGGCTAGTATTGGAAACAGCACTGGAGGGAGGAGCCATCTTGAGAAAAGTGATTAGCTTTTCACTCAGGCTTTCCTGTGCTGGAGGCGATTCTGGTACAACAGAATGTGCTGGAGCAGTGCTTTTTACCTATTGCATGCAAAAGACAAATGAAATAACGTGGAAGTTGGCTGGGAGCCCAGCATTGCCCAAGGCTTGGCAGAGTAGGTGGACACTCCAGTATTCCCAGAATCCCTTTCTGGTCTGGTCTGCACTGGAGCAGGGAGGGGTGGGCTCCATCCAGGTCCATGCAGCTCTGTATCTGAACCTTCTTTGCCCGGGGTTGGCGTCTGAGTGCGTTGAGCTTATGTTACTGCTTAGATGTGGGGACTGAGCTGGACAGGTAATTCTGGGCCCAGGTAGCTTTCAGGTCACAGAGAGACAAAGTTCTTGATGGTCCAGAGCCTAGGGTACAACGTCAGTTCACATTGCTGAAATGCGGAGTTGGGTAGAACTGAAAAACAGAGATTGTGGGTAGATCTTTAAAATTTTCCCTTCTCTTTTGTCTAAACCCTGGAGAAAGAATAACTATGGAAATTAGAAAGAAAAATGAAATTTTTTTTTCAGAGAGGCTGAAACCATGTACTGAAGTCCATATGGGTTATTTGCGGAGAGAGGAGTTTAGAAAAACAGTGCTTCAAAAAGTGGTTGATGGAATATTATCTCCAAGATGTTGGGAGCATTCTCAAGCATTTGAGTGGCTCATGAAGGGAAATTATGTCGGGTGAATCCTAGGAAAACCAAAACAAAAATAGGCTTAAAAGATTGAGAGCCATGAAAGGCTGGTTGCAGGGGTGGCTGACCAACTTGTTCATATATCTTGAAATCTTGTCCTTAATTGTGTTCGTCTTAGTGTAATGTTTGTTTTGATAACAGATCAGGAGCCTAGCATCTAACTTTTGATATCTTCTCATTTCTTCCTTTGTCTTTCCCTTCCAACTCCTACATTCCCCCTTTTATGTTTGCCATGGCCTTGAACTTGCTACAGTAGCCCTGTGGGTCAGTCAGAAGGCTGTGGTAGTTTACTTGTGTGGATGTCCACCTAAAGTATGGGAAGCTTTGCCGTTTCAGGAAAATACCACCTCAGATGAAGATAGTGAATGCCATCTAAACATTAGGCACTATTTTTCTTTGATGCTTTATTTAATGGGTTAAAATAGAAAGGAATAGAAAATGAAGGATAAAAATGTACTAAAGATTATCTTTGTAGGTCATTTAAATCAAGGGTTCTCAAGTAGATCCACATGCAGATCATTTGGGAGCTTGACAGAAATGCAGGTGCATGGATTTTACCCCTGAGAGCATGATTTGGCAGCACCTGGGCGAGGCTGGGTTATCTGTGGATTCTGCCAGGCAGCACGTCCGCCCGAGGGCAGTGCACACCCCAGCAGGAGGTGGAGCCAGCAGAGAAATCACAGCGGCCTGGACATTGGCTTTGTGGAACACACCCACAAAATGTCAGGAGTGTCCCGGATGGAAACTAGCATCATGTGGAAGGGAACCGGCAGATGAATCGGAGATTCGGTGGCGGTAGGTTTCTGCGACAGGGACCGAGCTAAGGGGTTGATTGGAAAGCTGGGTATTTTATCAGTAGACGGAGGGAAGGAGAGCAAACCTCACCAGGGTGAGAAGGCGTTGTCCTTCCATTGAGGGCCTGAACAGAGCTGAAGGGTGGAGGGAGTGCTCTCCCTTCTTGAGCCTGGACATCTGAGGCTCTGGTTCTCAGGCCTCCGGACCCCAGGACTTATACCAGTACCTTTCTCCCCACTGGTCTAGTTTTCAGCGCTTTGGCCTCAGATGTAATTATATCACCAGCTTTCCTGGGGCTCCAGCTTGTGAGCTCTCTCCGTAACAAATCTCCACATATTTACCTATATATTCTATGGATGTGCAAGACTCTGAGTTCAAGCTCCAGTACCACACACACACACAGGTTCCACGTGGGAGATGTTGAGGGGCCTGTGGATTACCCAGGTGGAGATAACCATCAGGCAGGCAGAAACAAGAGTCTGAGCTTTGAGTCTTGAGCTCACAGATGATGATGAGGAGCTCGTGATGAAATGAGAGGCAGAGTAGGATCAGCTCTCAGGGGCTTATGGCGTAAGCAACAGAGGCAAAGGGCAGATGCAGGTGAAATTCCATATCTCAGACTCAGAAGGGAGAGGAGACATCACACAACAGACATGGGGACTAAGGAATGGAATGTCCTGAGTGGCCGTCAAAGGGGAAGCCTCCAACGCTTTCGGGGAGAAGAAACCAATTCAGAGACAAAAAGGTTCAAAGTGACCTGACTTTGCACTGTAGTATTTTAAAGGGAATGAAAAAAGATTGCATTAAGTTTGAGGAAAGCTGAGCTAATTTATAGGTGAAGTACAGGAAGATATCGTGGGTGTGGAGCAGAAATCACAACCAAGGTACTTCAAACGGGTTTTAACATTTTAACCCAGGGAGGTGTAAGAGATGTCAGAGGTGCAGTCAGAGAAGCAACGAGGGATCTTGGGACACCCAGATACTCGCAGCAGCTGGAAGCTGTGGCCGTCATGGTGTTGAAAGGATAGAGGAAGGGGTGTGGTGCTTGGAACCCCATTCAATCTGAAGCAGACTGAGAAGAGTTGGGGTTCTCAGCATTATCCCTCTGCACTTATCCTTGATTTTTGTTTGGGCATCATCTCTGTCTTCCACTCTCAGATGAGGTCTCTTTACCCATCTCTCTTCCCTCAGAGATGAGAGTGAGGTCCAGACCTATCAACAACACTATCCTTCTGGCCAAATGATTGGTTGAAGAATGAGCATGTGACTCAAGTTGGTCCAATCAGAGTGCACCTCAGGATCTGCCCAGAAACTACCAGGAAGAGAATTTCTTTTTCTTCTGGGCTCGAACCTGGGGGTTTGTGAGGGGGGAAATCTGTCTGTGGTGTAGCCAACAGCAGAAGAGAAAGTTTGGAGGGAAGCTGGTGACGTTAATCAAGATCTAGAATTTGCCACCTTTCAGTCTATCATAGACCTGTGCCTTTCTGTTTCAAATCTTTTCTTTTCTTAGTGAATTTGAGTAAGATCTTTGCGTGGGACCAGCCCAGCTCCTTTCCTGGCCTCTTTTGATCCCATTGTGTGTTGAACATTTGTTTGCCTGTGGCTTTGACACCTGTGCAATTTGTCAAAGAGGACTGTAGACACAGGTGACAGGTCATTGAGGACAGGTATTTTTTTTGTTGTTGTTTTTTTTTGTGGCAAAAATGTGTACCCAAAATAGGATACTTTGTATTTTTCCATTTGAAATTCTTCATTGTCAAGTCTCACAGAAAGGTTTTGACCCTGTCATTTGTAGGAGCATGACATTGTAACAAAGACCCATGAAGCAATTTCTCTTTTTTGGGTGAATAAATATAGAATAAGTCATTACCAGAAACCAATGTGCTAGATAATATTCTCTCATCAGAGAGCAATTTGACTTATCATTACACCAAATAGCATTTTGTAGCCCTTTTACCCTTTGCCGAGGTTTTCACATGTATCATCTGATGGAACCAAACCAGGCTAAAGCCACCCCTGAAAGGTGGTTATTATAACCCCCATTTTAAGGATCTGGAAACCAAATCTCTGTTAGATTAAAATAGGTCACTCATACTGTCTAGCTAATAAGGGTCAAATGTGGGATTGAAAACTGGGTCTCTGTGATTTCAAAATCCTGCACACTGGCACACAGAGAACATTTGAGGGAATGTAAGGGGGATTTTGATTTAGAATTCCTTTCATATGTTTTACTGCCATGGCCATCTCCACAACTTCCTTGGACCACTGAATGAAAGCTGTAGAGAAACAAGAATGTCTTCAATGGGCATTAAATTCAGGAGGTAAGAGATCACCAGTCTAACCATCTTCCCTCATCTCTCTTCAAGTCCTGTTTGCTCTGCTTTATCCTCCATATTTTTCTATTTGGCTTCATCTCCAAACTCCCATCCCTGTTTTCCTGGGCCACAGCTATCAAGTCTTTCTTTCCACTCTTGTCAACTCCAACTCATTTTCCATAGTACACGGGAGTGAAAGAAACTTAAGGAGAAATGTGTCCTTTCTCTACTCAAGATCTCTCATAATCACAACTTCTCTAGGAATTAAAAAAAAATCTTACAAAGCGTTTTTGTGCTGTGAATGGTCTGTGCATCTGATCTCTCTTCTCTCTCTCCCTCCTCCTCATATCTCCCCTATTTGTCTTTGACTTCTATCTACACTGGTCCTTCCTGAGCTGCCTCTGGGGTCATTATCTTTTTAGTCCCAGAACCTGTTCCCTCGCCTGTGAGGCTCTAAACATCCTTTTTCCCCTGCCCCCAATATATAACTTCTTGTACCTAATTTATCCTGTCTGCCCTTCCAGATTAGCCTTCCCTATTCATCACAGGAGATGGCCAATTATCTGTTCCAGTAACAGCCTCTTCATTTCTTTTCTACCTTGGATTTACCAGTTTGTAATCATATGTTTATGTCATCATTGACTTCTCTCTCCTCAGCAGTCTGTGAGCTCCATGAGGTTAGGAAATGTGTATGCTTGCCCTCAATACTGTTTACGTGATTTCCGCATTTCTTTCACCCTTGTCCCTTTCTTAAGAGCTTTTCTTTGTGGGATGAACTCTACTCTGATGTGTAACAAGTATGTGATTTGAGGGGTGCCGGGAATGTAGTGTTGCCCTTGTTGGAACTGTGACGGACAGGAGCTCGGCCCTGAGCTAGCCATGCACATCATTTGCCCAGCCACACTTGGTTTGTCTTTGCAGTAGGCAGTGTTAGACCTTTATTGGTTGGTTGAGGAAGTATGCTCTGATCTGCCTCAGCCATCATGCTACCATGAAGGCAGTTGGCCTGAGGACAAAGTTAAAGTTCAGAAGAAGGATTATTGTGAATATTTCTGAGAAATCACGGTGGGGATTCTCATCCCTGAAGGAAAGCACATTACAGATAGTGGCCTAATTAAAATGCTTCAAAGTTAGAGGGTGAAAGTGTTTTGCACAGGCGCATCACTAAATCACTCTTGCTCACTCTCTTCGGCTACCTCTTCGAGTGATCCTTATCCACCTTTATTGCTGGTGTCCTACTGGAAGATTCTTCATTCTTTCCAAGTTCACATACAGTGGAATCAAATTTCCCCATCAGGTCAACATTGAGCCTAACCACTGAGTTCAATTTGGTTCTTGTCCAACTCAGTTTGCAACCAGAATCATAGAAAGAATCAAGTTTGTGAACTGAGATACCACTGTATTTGTAATACCCTCAGTATGGGTGGAGAGTATTTCTCCAACCCTCAACCCCGTGACTTGCTTTGATATGTGTGGGCTCTCATTCACTTCTATTAGCTCTCTTCTTCTGCCATAACTGAGAGACATCTGCCCTGGATAAACAGGTATTCCACGGAGGGACATGAGCAATATCTGAAGTAGAGGCACCTCAACAGAGCTCAGACAAGATCAGCCAAAGTCTAGATAATCTGTGAACACATAAGCCACTGAGTTTGGGGGTTATTGGAGAAACTTGTTATGCAGCAGTAGCTGATTGATACAATCTTCAGAGAAGATAATTCCTACTGGGCATAACTGCTTCTGTTAGGGCATTCTAGTTTGTGACCATCTGTGAGCATGAGTATCTTTTTTCCTAATTCTGTAACAAACTTGGTCTGTGTATTCCTAGCTTCTCAAGCAGTCTTTCTTGAATACCACTCTTTCAACTCCTGGCCACTCTCCCTTCTCCCCATGGAAGCTCAAAACTGGCTCTGAGAGCTGGTCAAGAAGTTACCATGGCAACACCTTCATCCACCTGCTCTCCTTAGTCCCCAAACTCTAAATTCCATCATTCTCTTTCACCAAAAGAATGAAAAATAAAACATAAATTAATAAAAACCCAAGACAATTAAAGCATGCTTGCATTGCTAGGCATGCAAACTAAGACAAACAGCCAACTATAGCAGCAAAAGACTGTTCAATTTGTCAAACAGCCAGGCTCCATGTGTCAGGTTAGGTCTCCAAGAAGCAGACACCAAGACAGGATTAGACAAGCAAAAAAAAAGATTTATTGAAGGACTTGATGGTGGAAAGCAGGCGAAGGTGGAGGAAGCAGGAAGAGACAGGACAAGACTTCGGATTGGATGCAAGTCTGAGACTTGTGTAAGAGAGCAGGAAGTCAGGGAAATTGGACAGGGGAGCCTTGACCAGCACATGAATTGGGGAGGAGTCCTCAGGCCAACATCATCTTCCAAGGATACCCCGGCACTGGTGCTGTGCCATCCTGTGCCAGCCAGTGGCTGGGCTAGCCTGGGAGTAGCACAGCCTCAATGTGAATGGAGGTCACCTGTGTCCCCACCAGAGACGAGAGGAGCAGCAGTGTGCTTCTGTAGCCTCCAAACTAAATCCAGACCGACCCTCACTGGATAAGCCCTGCATAGTGAAACTTGTTTAAATAGAGCGTTGGAAGGATGGGTGGTGGGAGATGAGAGGAAATACGATCTCTCCCAAGAGAGAGTCTGGCCTTTTTAGAACATACTCACACAG